CTGTCCTAGGGTATCTTAATTCTGCATTTGAACTGGAACTGAATGTAGCCTACAAACTCAGGTAGGAACATACTTTGGAATAGATATCTAAGTCAATCCTAACTGGGTTTCTAAACACCTGCCAGTAGCAATTATCATCTTGATCTCATATTGATAATGGTATGATAATATGATAACCTTCGATTGGCTTGTGCATCTGTCTAACATTATTGGCTCTTCTTTTATAAAGGGAAGTGGCAGGTCAAAATCTGAACTTGCAGTCAGTCTGGCTTTGTTCTTCTCTTTTGGCTTGAGTTATTGGAAGTTTTAGAACATCAATTCATTGTTTAAAACTTGGAAACCTGAGATTGCATCATGTATCAGACAATACTTTGGGGGAGGAATGAATGAAAAGTCTGAAGGGTATTTGCGTATTTCTGTAGTATTTCGTTGGCTGAAATGCCATGAAGGACTATATGAGTAACTGTGTTGTTCACCTTCCCCATCGTGTGGACTACATGGCCTTGTGGTATCAGCTCTGAGCGTTTCACTCAGCCCACTCGGCCTGATCAGCTTCCGCATAGTGCTAAAGAGATGCATTTTCAATTGACAGCATCTTCATCTGTGTCTCAAGATAAAACTAAGAAGAGCAGGACCTTCTGTTCCTCAAATCCTAACTTGTACTGCCATCTAGCATTCCCTAATGGTAAGGCTGTCTCTTTCAAACAGTCCTGGGCAACAGATTCATTCCAGTATCTCAGGCTGGTGTTTCCTTCTCTTTAGTGGGGCCAGTCTGTGTTCAGAATGGATGTGAATGTAGCGGAGGAGAGGAGTTGTAGGAACGTCACATTCTGTTTAACAGCCCCATTCAATCAGTGGGAGAAAAGCAGAAGTTTCCCAGATGTGAAAAGAGACCCACATATAAATATTTCCTGGGTACGTTTTCCTGGGACATTTAGACACCCATTTTCAATCTAATGTTATGCAGATGAAGACCATTTCTCATAATGTGGGCGATGTTGGCATTGAATCTTAAATACTTCAGCTGTTGTGTTCTGGGTATAAATAACATCAGATGCATAATTCATTCCCAAGCTTTCACATTTCTTTAGGCTTGTATGTGAAAACTTGATTTTACTTTCACTGCTGTTGATGTACAAGCCAAATTCTCATCTGACTGGTATGTGGCTGCAAAGTAGTAAATTGCTCATCTGGAGTAAACGGAGGAGAGGCCGCTGCTGTTCCTTGGTTTCCAGTCTTTCTATAAAATTAGGCAATTAATGAGAAACAAACAGCAGATGCAAACTAGTGACTGTTTGCCAAGCGGTTTTCTAACTGGCATGTCAGGAGAAGATGAAATCCAGTGTGCTTTGGATTTTCCAGTAGGTTTTTCCACATGATTAAAGATTATTACGGAGGGCAAGAAACACCTTTTCAAGGAAGTTAAAATTCACAGCCACAACCTGTGCTGAGAAGGTTGATCTGTGGTTTGGGGTGCCCTCTGTAATCCTTTGCAACGTAATAGGTACAGCCACTAAATGTGCTGGGAATAGCTTGGAGCAGTGTTTCTCAGCCTTGGCCACTTGAAGATGTGTGGACTTCAACTCCCAGAATTCCC